CTCCTTACCTTGTTCCGTCACGTTGTGAGCGTCTTATATATACCAGATACCCCCAATATAGTAGTCTCCCGATAATTCATGAAGGTTCGAGAAGGACGTGGCGTGGTACTAGTCACGTGACCTCGCTGGCGCAACAGTATTTTACAGGACAACTTTCATGTTATAAAGAAGTTCAAGAAATTAAACCTTAAGGTTCAACGATTTCTAAGTTAGTTAATGACCTTAAAAGAAAGAGCCAATTACGTGTATAGGCGTCTTCTTTGTTTGATAAAAAAAAACATTTTAAGAGAAAGAGTAATACCATCAAAATTAGTATTAAATTAACTAGAATACAAACTGATAGTACTATAGGCTGTAGTTAGGCTTAGGTTTTATTAATATTTCAAAAATTCGCAGGCCGCTTGATTTAATTATCAATGTAGTGGTTCTCAAATATGTTTTCCTCGTGACATTTTTCTTATGTCTTCGAAGATATTACATTTTAAAAGAAAACTGGTCGAAGGATATGGGAGTTAGAGTTTTCTTCCCTGTTGTAAGTTGTAGGGAGACAACTATTCTTGCACTTAGTTGAACGTTTTTGTTGTTGTTGTTTCAGCTTAAATCTATTGATTAAACTGGCACAATAACTGCAAATAAGCTATTCAGCCTTATCTGTTAAGTGTTTTGTATATTTGCACGGATTTCCGAGATGGTGAGCTTAACCAGCTCTTTTGCTTACTGGTGGTTGAAAATTGTTGGATGAGTCATATGTATACTTTTTTCAAAATTATTGAAGTTTCTTTTTTAATCTCTTTTTAGATCGGGTGTTCTTGGGAAAGTTTTCTGTAATAAGTGGAAATTCTTTCACAGATCGACTTTCAGATACAGTGTCTGATGATTTTGAGACAAAATCTCAACTTTATAAAACAAAGGTATGCATTCCATTTGGTTTAGTTCTACTCAAAATAAAATATGTATTCATAAGATGTAAAAACATTTTCGTAATAAGTATTCTAAATCAAACTTAGTTACACATGATTAAAATAGTTGGTATATAACAATAAAGTCAGGGAACTAACGTGACGTCGTAGTTACATAGAGTGGCGCCACAAGGCGGATAGTTCTGTGAAGTGTCACTTTGGCGGATACTTCTTGTATATTTATCAAATGCTAACCGAAAACACTGGTGACATAGATATTTTAAAAGGTCATGAAATATATATTTTCTAAAGCACAATTAAGTATATTTATATTCGTGGCGGAGTTTGTATGTTATTTTATTATATTAAAACATTTTTATTCAAATTTATTTCATTTAATTTTTTTTTTTTTTACGCTAGTAGCAAAATCGTCTGAGAGCCCCTATTTCCTTTTGGGTGGTACTGAAATTTCGGGTTTTATATAAGTTGCAATATACAGGTTAAACACGCTTAAAAATTATGTGATTCCAATAATAGTTTATTTTGTTATTGGTACCGTAATCTCGAAGATCATTGAGATTTTCATGCGATCGAAGTTGCAATTGGATCTGAAATAGAGACCTAAATAATCTGTTTTTAAGACAGTCTAGGAAATAAAACTAATATAAAGTGACATTATTCCTTACATTTAGAAGATATATATGTCATAAACTGAAAATAAATGCTCTTTCGAAATATTTATATCAATAAGTTTTGATTATGAAATAAATACAAAATGTATATGAATTATTAATAATAAAATATAAGAACAAGATTTTAGAACTAACGCATTCACAAATAGCGATTTCTTTATAACTTTCACAATCTGTATCAAATCAGTTAGATCTTTACATTTCAAGACCTTTTAATTAATTTAATACTAGCTGATATAACCGTTTAACACACGTATAAGAGACATAGAGTATCCGGGCGTGTATAGGAGGGCTCAGATTTGAACAATTACCCTCCCCTTCATATCATTCCCCGGGGTATCTAAGGATACCTACCAGGTTTGGTGACAATTGGTCCAGCGGTTCGCCAGTTATAAGCGGAAACAAACACAGAAGATAGCACAAATGGTTTTGTTGTTGTTTGTTATTAAGAACAAAGGGCTATCTGTTCTCTGCCCACCACGGGTATCAAAAAACCGGTTTCTAGCGGTATAAGTCCGCAGACATGCCGCTGTGCCACTGGGGGGCGCACAAATACGAGACCTACTCGTGTGAAACTAGGGTTCCTGTCTACAGCATACCAAATACCTTATGTAAAAAGTGAAAAATTTTTAGGTGATGAAAGTTTGTATATCGGTAATATTCCTCTTTTCTCTTATCTTGTGGGAGTTAATTAGGTTATTGGTGTGAGAAGTCAACAGAAGTGAAAACACAACCACAGTGTTTTGTTAATAGTACATAAATCACAATTTGAAGTTACCTTAGATAATGACGTTCTTTTATGATTTTGTTTCTTTTGTAGCTGGAAAAACTTTACAATGAGAGTGTTTATAGCAATGAATTTTTACAAGCTGAAGTGGTGGAGTTAGAAAGGTGGGTGTCCAGAATACTGTATATCAAGAATGAAATTTCTATCTAATAGTTAATATCACATTTACGTTAATCTCTTGTAAAAACGAAGATTACGAATCATAATAGAAAAAGTATTTCAAGTTTTAATCTATAAATGAATGAACGAAGCCTCAGTGTCAGGACGTGTATATTAACCAAAACCAAAACCTTGAACTTGAAGCTTTTCTATTATCCATAATTATTGTAATTTTGTTACACGTCTTACATGTAGATTCCTAACTGTTGTGGCATGTAACTTACGTTGAAATTACCTTTATTTTCTCTCTCTCTCTCTCTTTCAGTAAAGTGTGATACGTTTTCCCTATTTATCTGTGTTTGTTTTAAGACTTAATAACGTATCTTATTAGCATTTTAACTGAAAGGTTTTTGCATTTAGACCTATACGAGATTAGGCCCGAGATGGGCACAATAATGAACTTTCTCCCATATGTGGTAAACATGAGTATGTTTGTTGAAAACTGGACATGGAAATATAAACAACAAACATGGGTATTCTGTTGTTGTTTTCTCGAGCATTTTTCATTATATATATGTATTAAATTGAACTTAATTAATCTAGATAGATAGATATCTAATTCTTAATTATTTTCGTTATATTGTGGTTTGGATTTTACTCAGCGATCGGAAATACAACAAAGTGAATGTCCACTTCAACCTTCGTATGTCACGTGGGAACAAACAAGTAGATGCCTCTGACCTTTACGTAATTTTGATTAAAGAAATCACCAGTTCAAAACTCGGTGTTTTCCAGGGATTGAAGATTGATCAAAGATCTGTACAAGTTCAAGGTAAGTCATCATAAAATATAATAATACTTTTACTGTCAAATTTATCAGTTTATTTTTGTTTTGTTTTTTGCTTTCATTAAACATTCATAAGTCTGTAAATGAACGGTTCAACTGAACATTTTAATTTACTTAAATACATAACATTAAATTATTTTTATAACCTCTAAAGTTTTTTCGTTCTACAACGAAGTCACTAAATAAAACTATTATATTGTTATTCATAATTATTAAGAGAATATTTTCAGATGCCAAGTTAACTGACCCGTGGATCCCTCACCAACAATAAACATATTGTATTGTTGTTAATCATTGTTGTAGAAAGAATATCGTCAGGTGCTAAGTATGCTGACCTCTGGATCTCTCACCAACAATAAATCTATTATATTGTTATTATCTATTATTATAGAGAGAATATCTTCAGATGCTAAGTTAGCTGACCCCTGGATCCCTCACCAACAATACCCTGGCTACTTAGATGGTTTACGTATTGCTCCTGCTACATCACCAAGTACAGCGATGAATCAAAGTCACTGTGAACCAATAGAGTTAGAGTTCTGTAAAAATCTGTCTTATAACGTCACATATTACCCAAACATGGTTGGACACATGAATATACACGAGCTCCAGAAAGATTTGACAACCTATCGTCAGGTCATCGATTTTGAGTGCTACAGTTTGGCACAAGAATTTATTTGTCAAATTTTGCAACCTGGGTGTCAGAATGATGCAGTGGTTTCACCGTGTAGAAATTTTTGTGAAGGTGTGTTTCGAATTTGAATAATAATTGTATGCGATTAACAACATCTAAAATTATAGAGATATTTTAGGAATGATATAGAAACATTTAGACCTATTAAGCCTATCTGCTAGTATTTAGAAGTAGCTAGTGTAGTTTTCTATTTGTGCAGTTTCACATGTAAGAATTCCATACACTTTATGATTTTTCAATCTGTTATAATAGAATTTTGGAAATCCTGCAAGAATTTGTTACCAAAGATAGTTTACGACAAGATTAACTGCTCAACTTACCCTAAATACGACGGTTCTGGGTCTTGTAAACCGAAACCAAGTAAGTGGACTTTCAAGTTTTTAAACCGTTTTGTTTAAACCATATCAACAAAACATTCTCACGTCTGTGATATCATTTCTACACATTTAACTAAACTAAAACTTAGCTTCTTTTAATGTTTGACAGTTTAACGTTCTCACAAAACCTGGCGAAAATACGTGTAGTATTAACCATCTTATAGGTTCGAAAAGTGCAAAAAATCGAACACTTTATGTATCTCCCGCTGGCTTTCACTGCCAGGCTTATATACTAACGAAGAGGGCATCTCGGACTTCCGCGATCATTCGAGAAACTAATCACGCCAGCAGCGTCACGTGACCTCCGCTGTCGTAACATTTGATTAATGATTAGGATGTGTAGTATTACCATCTTAGTTCGAAAAGTGTATAAGTGCAAAGATCGAACACTTTATGCATAAAATATGCTTTAAACAAATTCTTCCATCACCAGACAATAGTATATATGTAATACACATACATATCCTTTAGACTGGGCAAGTAACCTTAAAGCCAGAGGACAGATTGAAAAACTTTGTGACGGTCTTGTTGACTGTGGATATTTTTTTGATGAAAACTCGTGTGGTAAGATAAGTTTAGTTTCGTTGTTCTAGAACTTTCATAATCATAAAATATTATTGTAGATACTTCACCTTTGACTGTTTATTTAAATAATATACTTTTCTGAAAGGTTTGTTTGATTGTAATTAAGCCCAAAGCTACACAATGGGCTATCTGTGCTCTGCCCACCATGGGTATCGAAATTCGGATTCTAGCGTTGTAATTCCGCTGTGCCACTGGGGGGGGGGGGCGAGATTTTTGAAGTCTGTGTTTTCAAATATTCTTTCAATGCTTGC